AATTTTGGTGTCAAAAATTTTTAGGATGGATTGATAATCTATTTTCATCGCTAATTATAAAATCTTAAACTCAAAACATAGTTCAAATCAAGTAGATCTATAAACACTTGAAAATCTTGAAAATGGACGGTCCAGATAATATGTTACAAGGCACACTATTTTTAGGACTCAAAATCTTTTTTCTTTTCATATTTACATATCTCAATGTCAAGATGATCAATTACAATGGATTATTGAGGTGCACCTTAATTCAACATTTTAAGGTTGCAACCTTGTATAAACTTTTACCTCTTGTCTATCTTATATTTTATTTCCACACGAAATATTATCCTTTCATGTCATAGAAAGTTGGCACCCTCTTGGAAAGGAGGTCTAGCGGACAGGTGCCTCAAAATAACGTCTTAGACTTCATCTCCACCGTCTAACACTTTAAAAAACAAAAAGAATGGCTCCCTTTTGTATCTCTCCACTCGTCTTTCTACAAGTACTTCTCTTTCTCTCTTCTCTCATATCCCTTGTGGTTTTCTGCGTACATCTTAAAATTAGACAATTTTTAATTTTATTGTTGTTGTTAAAAACTCAATTTACCCTACGTAATTTGCTCTAAACTATCTTTTAAGGTCACTTGCCCTAAGTTCTCTCCAGTAATAAGGTTTCCTTCTAACTTAACGATATCCTACCCTAATTACAGTTTAATATAGGTAAAATTAGGGGGTAGACCCGATCCAGGTTCAGTATGGGTCAACAAATTGGACTCGACTGGTCGGGTCTGGGTCTGGGTCCAATCAGGTCCAGTCTGGTAATATTTTCGGGTCCCAATATATGATATATATATTTAAGTATAATTAAACACATATACCAGTGGCAATGGACCCAGACTCGGAACAGACCCGGGACCCGTTAGTATACCCGATATGGGTCTAGGTATGGATCCAACATTTGGACTAGCGGGCTGGGTCCGGATCCAAAATTGGACCCGAATACTATTCAGGTCCGGGTCCGTTTGGACTCGACCTATACCTGTAAACTGTTGGAGATAAAATACTTCAAGCCCTATTCGTTTGGGTGTATTAAGGATCATATATAATAAGAATTCATAGTCATCTTTAGTTACTAAACAGCAAATCAAACGGCTTGAAATCTAATGACGGGTGATTGTGACCTTGTTGTCAATGATATGAGGATATGATGGTAAAAAAAAAGAAACAAACAAAAGAAAGAAGAAGTTCATAGTGAGGGTGGCAATGGAACCATCCAGACCAGGGACCTGGCGGGACAAACTCGGGACCCGACGGGTACACGTATGGGTCCAACTTTTAGACCCAACAGGTTAGGTCCGAGTCCAAAACCTAGTATTCAGGTCTGGGTTCGGGTCTTGCCGGACCCGAACCGTTGCCACCCCTAAATAGCTAGAAATTTAATTTTGGGGTTGGGTCCGATTGGGTCTAGGTCCAGGTCTAGGTCCGGGTCCGGGTCCGGGTCTTATTCCCACACTATATTTTTGGATTCGGCAATGAGGACTTGTTGAAAATGTACTTTACTTTCTTGTTTTATTCATTGTGCTTTCAGTCTATCATGTGTGTTTAGCAAGGAGTGAAAATATTGTTTAAAAAAGTTGACAAAAGTAAGCACCTTGTTTGGACTTTAAAAGCCGTGACTTTAAAAGCCGTGAATAAACGATTGAAGGTACAAAATTACAGTCGTTTGTGTCATTTAATTTTTATTCAATGAGGTATCCGACGGTTCCCCACAGAAGAAATCCAAGAAATACAAAACCCTCCTAAATGTGTGTGAGATAGTATGTGTACGTGTGTGCGAGATTAAAAATGAATATGGTAAAATTCAAGAAATAAAAAAAAAATACCTCAACGGTTATACAGATTATCTGCCGATTTGGAAGAGGAAGAAGATGAGGAAGAATGTGTAGAGGAGGAGGAGGTATTGTCATTCCTATGGAGAATGAGGAGGAGGAGGACGTATTGTCATTCCTATGGAGAATGAGGAGGAGGAGGAGGTGGTATTATCATTCCTATGGAGAATGAGGAGGAGGAGGTGGTATTGTACTGTAATGGGTTTTTCTATATGCCACTAGGTAGAAGGAATTTATATATTTCCAACCATCGGATTAGAATAAACGGTTAAGATACCTTCAACCATAACGTCACAAATGAGCCTTAACCATTTGATCTAGATTTGACTGCTCAAAGTATTTTTATTTTTAATATTTTTCTACGAATCCAATGAACATAAAATTTGGTGTGTGTGCTCATATCAATGGGATGCACCTTAAAAGATATTAACAAATATTTTTATGAAAATAAAACCAAACTACGCTAAAAAATTTAGCTATATATTTGTCATTTTAATTTTTGAAAATATTTCTTAAATATTATTGTTAGTGCTGCCTATGAGAGGATTGGATGCCTCAAATTTAGTATCAATATGATTTGTAAAAAAAAAAATGTTTAAGTATAAAATTGTAATCAGGGTCATCTCAGTCGTCCATTTAAATCAGTCAGTTGGAAGAATGGTTGCCCTAGATATCGATGCCACTCTTATAGACAGTCATAAAGTCAACTCAAAAAATCGTTGAGTGAGGGAATTCTTAGGTCTCTATGTAGAAATGGTAAATAAATCTATACTAAAAAACATATGTTGAATCTCCTAGGAAATATGTGTATTATTATCATTAAGGGTGTGATTTGTATAGAACGAAGGCTCTAAACAATCAAAGTAAAGCCCACCTTCAAATAGTATAGAAAAATGTAGTTTCAATACTGAAAATCTTTATGATAGCATTAAAATATATTTTCATATTTAATTATAAATTTTGAAATGTAGACTGAGCAGATTTATGAAAACTTGAAAATCTTGAAAATTGACGGTCCAAAAGTTCATTATAAGATGCGCTATTTCCAAAGCTTGAAATCTATTGCTTTCTCATGTCCATGTATCTTGATGTCAAGATGATCAATTTGAAGATATTTGGATATCAAACAACCTCTTTTGGTGAAATTTTTGAGGCGGGATTTAATTTAATTGTTTAAAACCTTAGCTCTATATAAACTTTTTCCAACAATGAATGGTCATAGCTTTTGTTTGCTTTAACAAGAGCCCTTAGAGGTGAACATCTACGCATCTTTTCTCTCTTCTTACAAAGCACGAATCTCTCATTGAGAAGGTCATAAGGTTAAGATAATTGTTTAAGGGAAGGCTTTCTATGTTCCCCTACAACATAGAAGGTCTATCCTCCTCCTACCATCTAGCCATCTATTTTTTATCAAGAGAGTCACTTATCGTTTGATCTTAGATCCAACGCTTCAAAGTATTTTATTTTTAGTTTTTTTAATACAAATTTTTTTAATATGAAATTTAGTACATGCCATCTTCTCATTGGAGCACACCTACGATAAAAAATCATGACCAAAATACCCCTTGAAACTTTCAAAGTTATTTTGATCATTTTATTTTATTGAAAATATTTTTTTTATATTCTTCGTTAGTGCGTGTTTAATGGAGGAATGGACATCCAAAATTTGGTGTCAAAAAAGTTCATAAAAAAAATTAAAAATAAAATAGTATAGAGACGTGACATTGTCATTGGGGCAATCTTAGCCCTCAATTAAAAAATAGACGGTTGGATAAGGGGGAGGATAGAACTTCTATATTGTAGGGGGAACATAGAAAGCTTTCACATTGTTTAATTATTTGGAATTTAAGAGGTGTGGTGTGTAATTTTGTATAAAGCTCATGCCCTAACCAATCATAGTAAGGCACATCTTCAAATAGTGCTGAAAAATGTTTTCTTAGTATCATAAATCTTTGTGACGGCCTGAACATTTATTTTGATATGTAATTACAAAATTTAAAGATTAAAGAATAGTATAGAACGACAAGATCTATGAATACTTGAAAATCTTGAAAATTAATGGTCTAGATAATATATTACAAAATGCATTATTTCCAAGACTTGAAGTTTATTTTTTCTCATGTCCAAATATATTGACGTTTTTTCAAGCACCAAAACAATGTCTACTAGTAAATTTTTGAGGTTTGCCTTTATTTGGTTCTTAGGGTCTCACCCTTATATAATGTTTTTCCCTTTTGAATAAATTTTCTAAAGTATTTTTAGGAAAAAAATTCATATAAGGTTGACGCCTTAAACAATAAAATTGAAGCATACCTCAAATATTCGCTAGAAGAGATTGTTTTGATGCCCAAAAATCTTTCAATCGATCATCTCGACCTCAAGATATTTGGACATGAGAAAAATGGATTTCAAGTCTTGGAAATAATGGTTTTTGAGATACATTTTTTAGACAATCAAATTTATTCTATATCTCGACTATTTTTTAAGAATTAAATTTTATAATGAGAAATGGTTTGACAGAGCTGCAACCTTATCAAAATAAGTAAATACTCTCCTCATACCTAATTAAAAATTGTAATTTAAGCATTGGAAAAACTCCATATCAATCATCTCGGCTTGAATATTATGGTTATGAAAAAAATTAGGATTTCAAACTCTAAAGAATAATCTATTTTATAACAAATTATCTAGACATTTCATTTGACCCTAAAATAAGTGTTCACAATTCTATAAGATATGTACCATTTTTTTAGTTTTAAATTTTATCGTCAATATTAAAAATTGATTTTAGAATCATCATGAATATTCCTATTGCCAAACATACTTTCTTAATGAGGATTTGAGGTGAGGCATTATTTTGTTTTTATAAAACTTAAACCTTATAAAAATTTTATGTTTTTATAATTAGTGATGAAAATAAGTTATTAGGCCAAAATAAGATTAAGTACCAAAACAATCACTCGATACTAGTACAAGGTACGCCTTACTTTAATGGTTTAGGGCTTCAGCCCTATCAAAATCACACCCGTACTTTTTTATTCCCAAAAATCTGGAAAGGGCAAAAAAGGTCCATAGAGAAAAATAAAGGGGTAAGAAACCTTATCACTCCCCGTCGATTTACAGAGACGTGAAACCCTTGCCTTTTGACTGATCCATACTCACTTTGCGTCTCTCGCTAACCGCCCAGTTTTCTTTCTCTAAAACCCTATTTTATGATTTATGCCTTAAAATCAATTGATTCTTGAAAAACAAGAGAGAGAGAGTGTGTGTGCAAATTTCAGTTATCTGATGGTTTCTCTGCAGTTTTCCTATGAGAAAACCCTAGGAGACGTAATGAAACCCTGATTCGAAATGGGCGTTACCTTTAAACTATCAGGGACTGGTACGCGGTATAAGCCCAGATCCCCTGTTCATGATGAATTCTCTGTTGATAGTGGAGTGAATAATGCTGGAGCCGAATCTGTTGGGTCCAAAAGGAAGAAAATTGAGGTATTCCTGAACTTGGGTTTTCTGTTTTTTTTTTCCCCTTGAAATTTCATCTTTTTCACTCCCGCACTTTGATTTTTTTCCTTCTTTGGGGTATTTTTTTAGATATAATGAGTTGAATTCATGTTTCGGTTCTGGTTGGGATGATTGCACATTTGGTTGTCTCCCATGTTTGTAGTTTTGGCTTCCTGCGTGTCTTCTTGTCTTGTTTAGTTAATGTTTGGTAAGAGTTCTTTTTGGTACTGATTATGCTTGTTTGACAGTTATTATATAGCTCTGGTATTTCTCAGTTTATTATTATTATTATGTATGATTTAGAAACTTTCCGACATCCAAGTGTTTGTTTTGGTGTTTTTTATCTCTGTTTGTTTGATTTAATTGGTTGAGTTTACGTTCTAATTTCTGTTGAGCATGGTTTGCATCTTTGGAGTACTTTCACATTGCAGTTCCTGGCTTTTATTTTTCTTGTTATCACTTTTTCTTAATTCTGTTTATGGGGCAGAGATCTTGTTCGAGTTTTGGCTTTGATAGTTGATTCGTTTTTTTTAATGGACAGTTTTTATTTGGAGTACACATTTTAAACCTCTGTGTTGATCATCGATTATGGCATCATCTGTCTGATTGTGGGGAATTGATAAATTGCTCGTCTAATAGCATTATTTGGAGAAACCTTGGGTCTATGTTTGGATCTAGGGATCTCTGTGTGAATTTAAAACGTATTGTTTCCTTGTCAGCTAAATTCCGGAGTTCCTATTTCGAATTTGGATTAGCGAGAAGAGGTGTTTTAAAACCTGCGCTCGCTCGAGGACCCTTGGGGACCCCAGAGTGAATCGATGTGGCAAGTCGACTCAGGACTGACCGATACTTGCTCTAGTCCCCCTTAAAAGACAAAAAAAAAAAAGAAGGAAAATTCATAAAATTTTAAAAATGAGAAAAACATGAAGAAGCATAAAAATTATAGAACCCTATTTAGAAGCTATGTGTTTGAGGACCGAAGAGACGAATTAACTGAAGTTGCAACGACCCTGTGGTCTGACTTGCTTCTCAAATTTAGCTGGTTGGTGGGTTACCCCCAGTCAGTTCCTCATCTTTTCACTACATGCCTTTGCCGGAAAATCAGGGAAGTGTCTTTGGAGGGCCTCCATTTCTGCCACTTTGTGGATCATTTGCCTCGAGAGGAGCAATAGGATTTCAAGAGGGTAGAAAGGGCCTATAAAAAGGAGACGGTCTCTTGTAACATTTTGGGCCCTCAACCATAAGCTCTTCACTAATTACTCTTTTACCGACCTCCACCACCATTGGGAGACTTAGTTGAATCTCAAGGCCCAAAGGATCCCACGGGCTTCTCTATGGAGGCCGCCTGACTATGGGATCACTAAATTGAACTACAATGGTTGCTCTCTTGGCAACCCGGGATCCTCCGGCATTGGAGGCATTTTTTAAACTCTGAAGGCGTTACCATTCTCTCTTCTTCTTGCCCATTGGCATTACAGACTCCACTATTGTGGAGGCCATCACCTTGCTTGAGGGGCTACGAAATCATTTTTTCTTTTCATATTCATGCATCTTGATGTTGAGATGATCAATTAGAGGGTTTTCTAACGTCAAAACAACCTTTTACGATGGATTTTTTAGATACGCCTTAATTGTACATTTTAAAGTTGTAACCTTATATATATATATATATATAGTTATGAATTAGAGAGCAACTTTACCAGAGCATGAACCTAGATCAAAAGAGAATCTCACAAACCTAGGATATTATTTTCATATCTGAATCTGATGTTTGGAATCAGTAGAGGATGGAAAAATGTGCCTTGCGGTAAAGTTTGAGTGAAACCTTAGCTCAAATGAGCTGGAAAGTAGAAGAATGCAGGGTCGGATTGCCCCCTGCCTTTATACTGAAATATCATCAGACTCGACAAGTTTCTCTGGACTTGCAAAGTCTTTCAAATACTTGCCCAACTTGCTGCATTAACTAAGGCAAGTACCGCTATAGTACTGACCCCTATTTGTTCGGGGCCTTTCCAGGCTCCACAGGGTGCCAAGTCCAAGTAAGCTCATTTGAGCCTGAGTTGGACAAGGTGAGTTTTGAACACTGGCAATAAGTAAATGATATCTAGTAATTTAAACAACCAATTAAACTTACTGAAATGTGAACTGTCCACTAAAATATAATACTTGTAAAGCAATGTTCTTCAAATAAGGAGGTAATCTTAATTTGATTTATCTACTCCCTCTCTCTTTCTCTCTCATTCTATATATTCAGAGATAAATCAAATTACACGAAATGAAATAGTTGGGTGGCAAGAAGCATGTTGGCTCTCAGCCTTATCAGTTTCATCTTGAAATACAATATTGTCAAGATTGCTCAAATTTATTTTCTTTTTTAATCAGTGTGAATTTGATATGATGGATAGGCATTGTGTCATTAAATACTTATCTTTGTCTGTGATGGTACGCTTAGATTTTTCTTATAAGTTTTTAACACATCATTTGTGGTAGGAAAGTATTACAGAGAAGAACAAACTTCTTGGCCTTTCAACTAAGGGTTTGCATGAAAACTTTATGCCCTTTGGTGCTTGGAATATGAAATATATGTAAGTGAAAAATGAAGTGAACTAACAAGATATTCATGACAGATAACTTACTAAATGTTTTTCGTTCGTTACTTTATAGGTGCTGTCAGTATACACTTATTCTGGCCTCTTGGTCTGTGATGGTACACTTTTTTCTTATAAGTTTTTAAGACATCATTTGTGGCAGGAAAATCTTGGAGAAAGCAAACTTCCAAGCCTTTCAACTCAGGGTTTTCAGAAAACATTTGGTGTTTAGAATATGAAATATATTTATTTGAAATATGAGGTAAACACACAAGATATACTCATAACAGATAACTGACAAAAAAATTTTGTTCATTAAAAGTGCAACTATCTATTACCCATTCTTCCAGAGACAAGTACTGTAATTTCCCTCCATTGTTCCAACGTCCATATGGCATTAATGCCTTTCTGATTGCCTAGATGATGACATCTAATGTTCATCATCATCATCATCCGAGCTTTATCTCAACTATTTAGGGTTGGCTACATGAATCATGTTCTACCATTCACAAATCAGGATTCATGAAATAGATGTGGCATAAGTGTTGCGCTACTTGCCGAGATAACACATACTCCTCCTTTCTCTGGGCTTAGGATTGGCATGACCGGCTTGAGACGGGCCTTGGCGGATTTGTAGAACATCTAATGTTATATACCATAATGGCATTGAAAGAGTTTCTATGGAGTTCAATCTGTTTTGTGCATGCTGAACTTTTATCTCTGTAGCATAATTAGGTTTACATGGAATTACTTTCTAATGAGATTATATGTCCTTGTTTCTAGATTAAACGAGGAGACCAGTGTGCAACTTATCACCAAAAGTGACGACGTCTTTTGTAAAAAATAGAGTAAAAAAGAAATTCCATCAGTTCAAGAATCTATTAGGGAAAATCATTTGTGGAAAATTTCTTTGGTGAGGTTAGGTGAAAGAAATGCTTTTTTATGTAAGAGGGGTTCTCATTACTTTTTGTTTGCTTGAGATTTTTTTAGGCTTGTCCCTTATTAGGATAGAAGAAAGAACATTATCCTAAGCCACATTTTGCAGCCAAGAATTATATTACTGGCTATCTTCTTGCTTCAAACATTAAATGATCATGATTGTGCCATTGTTTCTTTTGACTAACCTGAAGAGCCAACTTCATGCTTGTATAGCTAGCTGAGGATTTTGTTCATTTGTTTGTATTCAAGGAAAGCTAATTTAATTCTTGACAGAAAAATATAGATTTTGAAGTAGATAAGTCCATAGGCATGATTTATGGATGTTTGGTGTGGTTGAGCATGTCTTTGTGCATGTAGGCTGATTCTGCTGAGGTTGGAAGTGAGCTTATTGCTTATTCAGTTTCATCGACCAGTTCTGGAGGGAATCTTGTGCCTACAGGTGGGTTTGATTGTTTGTGTTGTTGAGTGTAATTAGTATTGGCAGTGTTTTATAATCCAATGGCTTATGGAAAAACCCTAATCCATTGAGCTACTGTTGTCCATTGCGATGATGACAGTGATTAGATATCGAAAAAATAGATAGGTTGGATTGTGATGGGTAGATAGTGGGACCCATCACTGGGGTCATTTCCTGATCGGGGGATGCTCATTCGCTTTCTATCACTGCCAATTTCAATAGACCATGTTCGCCTGATGAATTATGGTTTTGCTGTAACCCATCTGATAATAGTGCATTTTCTCTTAGGAAATACTGTTTGTAGACTCTTCTTCTAAATTGGTGTTGTGACAGAGCTTGATGCGTCCTTCTCCGTTAACTTGCTACCTAATGGATTTTCTCTCGGAGTACCTACTGAGGTTTGTGGACTAAAAAGCTTGTAAACACTTCTCAGTCCATTATGAGCCTTTATTATGTGATATATCTTCACTTGGCTTGATGCTGTGGTTTATTCCGGTGCTGTTTGTATATATCAGAAGGGGAAGCCTCCACCATTGCTCCAAGATTTACCGAAATCATTGCATCCTTATGACAAATCATCTGAGACTCTTTTCTCCGTAAGTGCTGTTTTCAAGTTTGTGATGTTGTGATTTGGTGACAGTTTCATAGTATTTTAGCTGTTATGAAATTTATTTATCAATATCCTGGTTTCCTGCCCATGTGCTTTGCATAGTGTCTTGGGTTTTCTTTACTCATTTCTTTTTATCTGCCACTTTTTTCTGATGTAATTATGGACTTACAGGCACTTGAGTCTGGCTGGTTGCCTGGAGACATTTTGGATGATATACCTTGCAAGTACCTTGACGGAGTTATTATGTGTGAGGTGCAAGAAATATGCTTGTGTTCGGAATCTATTAGCTGTTTTGTGGGATAAATCAGTTTTTATGTTCTGTAATGTTGTTCAATATCAATGGAGTTTAACTTAAAGCATCAAATTGAAATGCCCATGATCTTTACAAATAACAGGGATTCTTATAAAAGCAAAAGAATAAAAATAAAAGGGGGGGGAAAGGGGGGGGAATTATAGATTTGATAACTATCTCATCTGGGACACCTCCAAGGCTAAGTCCCTCAAGACCTGCTCTTTTATTTACATTATATATATCCAGATATATATGTTGTGCAATCTATGCAGCACAAATGGATGGTTTGTATGGGCTATATTTCTTAAATTTGTGGCTACATATAAAAAAAGATAGTCTTCTTGGTTACCTTTTGCATGTATAGAAAATGAATTTGTTATCCTCACAGGTGCGAGATTATCGCAAATGTGTGCCTGGACCGGCAAATGCCGTAACTTCTGGGGAAGGAGTAGCAGTTCATAATGTGCACCTGAAGATGTCAACGGAGAACGTAGTCAAAGATATTCCATCTATAACAGATCATTCTTGGACTTACAGTGACCTAATGGTTTGTATTATTGTGAACCTGTTTGACCGTTCATTTTACTTTACCCTTGGTAGTAAAGTTATTCAGTAGATGATTCTTCTTGCTGTAGGAAGTTGAGGCCAGAATTTTGAAGGCCATGCAACCAGAACTCTGTTTGGATCCCTCCCCAAAGCTTGACAGGCTTTGTACTGCACCAGCTCTTAAGAAGGTATATGTCTGTTATGCTTTCATACATATGTTTGGCCCTGGATTATTTATTAATAGTTGCCCTTAAATGATTGGACAAAAAAGAAACTAGTTGAAATTTTGACTTGCTTTTCCAAAATATGATCTAAAAAATTTATTTGAGATATAAAAAACCATTGTTTATGTTCATTTGTTATAATTGGAATGCGGACCAATCTTCATGTGTACATCATATGGAATAAATGACAAATTTGAGAAAGAACAAGCTGAAATCAAATCTTTCAATAGAGAAAAACAAATGTTTTTTTATCTAATTAACGTTCCAAATCATAATTCATTGGAATCATCACTCTCTACTAAAATGATGGATGTTGCTGGAAAGAGTGAGATCTACTGGAAATAATATGACTCCAATGGTGCATCCTCCTTGATCACTTCATTGGATGGTGATGGTCTCAATGGACTATGCTTTTCTGTGGTCATTATTATTACATACGCGCTTTTCTGTAGTCATTATAATTACATACATATTCCCTTTTCTGTAGTTCCTATTATTACATTGTAGTTCCTATTATTACATTCATATATTTCTTGCAAAATCCTTACAACTATGCTCCAATCTCTGTGTCTCAGCCTTGGGCAGAAACCAAATTTTTACAGAAGTTTGATGAAGCTGCATACCATGATAAGGAAACAGTGTGCTAGATTTTGAATTGACTTGAGCTGTGAATAATAAGTACTAAGCATTTTGTAATCGCCCATCAGAAAACTAATTATCTGTTTTATATTGGTCTTAATTAATATTATCTAGAAGGAAATTATGATGCCTTTGGGTGTTCAACATAGAGTAATTGGGCGTCATAATTTTTTGCAGCTCAAGTTGGGTATTCACCGTGGAGCAGAGAAGCGTCAAAGAAGTGGCGCACCAGCAGTGAAGGTCACGTCTAGCAATCTATCTCATGGAAAGAAAGTCTTGATTGACCGAGTTCTTGAGACTTCTACCTGCCAGCCAGGTCCCACCATGGGAGACGGCACATTCCCATATGCCCATGATGCTACAATCCCATTGCCTGCAGCCTCAAATAACACAGGTACTATGAGACCTAAAAGTATGGCACCCACGGTATCTCAGCCAAGGTATCAATCAACGGTTAACCGACCAAGGAGCATGGTTGATCAACAACCATCTACACCTGGTCCAACAAGCCTAGTAACAACACCTGGTCAGGATTTAACAAATCCTTACATTGACCCAAGAACTTTTAACACATCTATGATTGGAAAGAGGGATAACCCACAAATGATACCCCAATCAGATGTAAAGAGGACAAAGCTAGAGCAAATGCACTTGAACCAGCAATATGGTGGGACCCAATCAGAGAATCTCATGGGATCAGACATGCAGTGGAAGAATGCGATGTTACAGCAGCATTTAGAAGCCATAGGAAATCCTTCTGGAAACATTGGGTTGCAAAAATATCCAGATGGTTCCTCGCATGCTGCTATTCTCGAAGGGGTTTCTAAACAGGATGTACCAGTGGTCTCTTCTTATATGGAGCAGAAGGCAATCAGTTATGGCGTGAAGGAGGAACCATCTGAACCCGAGAAGTTGGAGATTCAAGAGGGAGAGAAGCATAGGGATGACCCACAAAATATATTGGAAGGGGAAAGTGATCAAGTGGGGATTCAGCGCTTGCACTCTTTCTCAAGAACCCCTTACTTCCCTCACAACCAAGGCCAGTGGCACAATTTAGACTCGAAGAAGGATGATGGTTTCCAAAAGAAGAAAACGGTGAATAGTCCACGAGTTTCGGGCGCACCAGTGCATTCTCCAGTGTCATCAAAATCAGGAGAGATATCGAGTGGTTCAATGGGGGCCTTCTATGGCACTGGCCCCACAAATGCTATGGTTGGGGTGCAGAGAGAGAAAACCAATGTTTCCATTTCTGGTCAGATGATGGGGAGTGCTTCTGTGAACTCGGCTCATAATGATGCTATGATGAGGCAGAACCATGCCTCAGCATCGGGTATTGCAAAACGAAGTCCTTCCCTCCCTAAAAACTCAGCCATGAGTGGGGTTGCGTCACCGGCAAGTGTGGGCAACTCAAACACTGCTCCACTTAGTGCAAATAGCCCATCTACTGGGACCCCACCGATGGCCAATCCTGGAACCAAGGACTCGGTCATTCTTGAGAGGTTCTCAAAAGCCATTCTTCTGACGCAGAGGTAACATTATCACAGACCCATATGGTTTTGTTTGGAAGTATACTATAATCCAATTTGCTTCGGAAGTCCATATTTCATTTATGTCATGACCACCGGATGAAATGATTGACAGTGATGGGATACAAACACTTAACTTGGGTAGGATCAGGTTGTAATAGAAACACACAACTTGGGTGGGACAGGTTTACTGCGTGCTAGATTTGAGCAGTTTTTGTTCACTCTTTCAAGAGATACAAAGAAAGTGTTTGTACCAAATTGGTCTAAATCATGATTCCTTTTTTTTATTCTCTTAATTTGACAAATTTTGTTATTCTTAGTGTATACGTATGTGGGATGTAAACTCATGTTATACTTGTTAAATGTGCAGGACTAAATTGAACCGCAAGATTAACAAGATTGAGGAGTATCCCGAGAGAAAACCAACAACTTACTCACTTCAGCTTCTCTCCATCTGCCTCACAAATGCCATGTCTATTGATGATTTGAAGGATGCAAATGATTCTAACTCTATGGCCAAGTCCCTTCTTGGGGGGAGCGTCAATTTGCCCAAGACCAGATCCATGAATTTCGTGCGTACCAGCCAGTTCTATCCAGGTACATTGCACTTTCCTTGCTTTCAAGTCATTTTTATTAGTAATTTACTCTCACATACATATGGTTTATCCCTTTTATTTATTTATTTATTTATCTGTTTACTGTGAGAGTGAGTAACGTTTTTATAGATATGTAGAAATAGTACAAAGGAACCCCTTAGGCTACCCACAAGAGATGGGTGCTCTATTACAAAAAATGGGGTGTGAGAAGAAAAGAAAAAATCAAAGATTTTTCAGCCAATGAAAAATAGGCTAATACAAAAACCAATAATGACTATTATAAAAAACAGTAGTAATATATGAGATGAGAAGTGGTTTACGGTAGCGAAAGGAGGAAAGTGGTTAGAGAAGAGAGAGGATAAAAGAGACCAGAGGAAAAAAGAGGAGAAAGAGAGACTTATCTTAGGTTGGTGCCTCTGTTGTAGTCATTGGTTCTCCTGCTCCTTTCGTGAGATGATCAGCGAGTGTATTGGCCTTCCTGGGCATGTGGTTGAAGATGACTCGAGCTCCTCTGCAAAGCATGAAGATATAGACATATACATGTGCTAATCTCCATGGGGGTTGTGTATGTCCATTGGCCCAAGATATTGTTAGAGTCACCTTCCATTACAAGGGTTTGAGAGTTTCCGATGAGCATTATGGGTCTCTTTAGGCCCCCAATCAGAGCAATAGGTTCAGCTGTAATTGAATCTGATATGCCTATAGAACCCAACAATGAAAGAAGTTCATTGTTAGATTCTGCGAGGTGGCTCCCATATCCCACAGCTCCTGGATTTTCTAGGTAGCAGCCATCAATGTTAAGTTTGAGATGGTGGTGGTTATTGGGTGCGCGGTGGGGGATGGGGGTTGGAGTACCCAGCTGGCCCGTGGATGGGTTTGCCTAGGTGCGAGGTGTATGATGTTTCTCCAGTTGGAAATGAAGATGAAGGAACCTAAATTGGCACAATGCGGCAGTCTCTATGCCCCAAAAGGCCACCAATAATGCTTTTATGCAAACTAGAAGGGAGGACACTGGTTGAGCTTGCTCTCAGAAGATTCTGGCATTCCTTTTGATCCATATTGTCCAAAGGCCAGCCATTATATGATCCTCCATATGTTGCGACCTAGTTTTGGGAGAGGAGGGGATAGATTGACATCCTTTGGATATGCCCAAGGTATCTGAAATAGATGCAGAAGATGGATCCAAAGAGGGGTGATGGGTAGTGAAGAAGGAGATGGCTTGCTGTCTCCTCATCTTGTTAGCAAAGGGTAAAATGGTTGGGTAGAGGTAGACCCCTTCTCTATAGCTGGTCCATAGTCAAGATTCTACCACGTGTGCAAGGTTCAAAAAAACGGATTCGGGCACCTAGGTGGCTTGGGTGCCTGGCCGCCTAGGCACCCAGGGATAGGGAGCCCTCAACAATATCAACCCCCCCTCCTCCCCCCAACCCCAAAATAAAAAATAAAAAATAAAAAATAGGGGAGTCCTTAGGGCTGGGTTATATAGCTTTAGGGAGTTTTTAGGGCAATTTTAAAGCCCCACACTCCTCGTAATCATAAAATAGACGAAAGAAATCAATAAAAGAATACGATATTTGCTCAATTTCATTGTCAAAGTGAGAAAAAAATCAATAAATCACCAAAAAAATCAATCTTTTAACTACAAACATGTAAATATATCGTAAAAGAAAAAAAGTAAAAGAAAAAACACATGATTCATACCATAATGTGTTGTAGCAAAATAAAATCAAAACCCTCTTTCAAATATGATAATACTTAAAAAATATCAAAATCAAATCGGTGTCGGTGCAAACCTCGTCTATTGGGTCCCTAAAAGTTCTCAAAATCAACTATTAGAAGCTCCAAATCCACTCACGAACTATTGTCTTCGTTTTGGGAAGAAATTGGAAAAATATAAACTTTTTTGATAAATCACAAAATAGTGGTTTTTGAAGGTTTTTTCTCACCTTAAAGGCCACGGATTGTATATTGGGGGTTTAGAATACCCCCTAAAACCCTTTGTCCCCCTTTTTAGGGGGAAATAATTATGTATTTTACCCTCACTTGAGGTTTTTTTCCACTGCCCGAAAATTGTCACAGGGCGGCGCCTAGGCGGCACCCAGACCGCCTAAGCGGGGGCCCAGAAGCAAAATGCCTTATCCACCATCCCAGACTGCGCCTAGGCGTTTTGAAAAAATTTCCGCCTAAGTGGTTGGGCGGCTGAATTTTCGCACTATGCACGTGCGAGAACCCAAGTGAAGGCCTGGATCTTTAAAAGAACTGGGACTGTCCAAATTTTCTGGAAGATATGCTTGGGGACCTGAACTGGCCGCAGCGAGTGGTACAAAGAAGCCACCACTAGGATGCTGGAGGGTGTAGGAACGCAAAGCAGGTGGTCCCCTCCTTCAAGGATAATGAAGGAATCTAGAGCGCATATAAAAGATGAGTCTCTGGCTCTGACAGGGCCCTCCTAAAATGTGGGATCCATATTAGGGTGTCCCCACTGATCTCAACATAGTCCCCAACGAATGCGAGTTCGTCAGCAGGTAGGAAGATAAGGTGAGGCCACCAACTAGTGAATCGATACATCAGTCCAAAACCTCATGCTCTGTCCCCCCTCCAATCTTGGAGATAAACAAGGCCCTGCTCTTGGCTATACATTTCCACGCTCCTGATGCCTGATGTGTGGGGCATTTAGGATACCATCCTCTTCTTGACACCCGTGTTTGCTATTGACAGCTTCCTCCCGTAACTGCTCCTCATTCATAGAGCAGGAGCCACCAGTCGGGCCACATTTGTTTCTTTTAATCTTCTGATCCTGAGGCCACCAACTGCTTTTGGTTGCCCTACGTTATTCCAGGCTATATAGTGAAATTTTTGTGCTTCATTCCTTCCCTTCCACCCGAAGTTCCGCATTAAGGCTTCCAACTTAGATGCAGCATTGGCTAGGATTGGAATAAGGACATGAGATAAACAGGCACATTGGCGAGGGCTGCCTTAATGAGGGTTATCCTACCTCCGATAGAGAGAAATCTCCTCTCCCTTTTCAGTTTGCTAACCGGCTGTAGAAGTTCTCAATTTGATATCCCAAAGCTGTTTTCTTGATTTCCCGATGCATAGACGCATGCCAGGTAGGTGGAGGGTAGCTTCTCACAAGAACATCCCAGGTGCTTAGATAGGGATCTAACATCATCTTCCGCCATTCTAATGCCCAATATCGTGGTCTTAGACAGGTTTTCTCTCATCCTGGTCAATAGTACAAGCATCTAAGGTACAACCATAGTTTGTCAAGCTGTTGAGGGCAGGCATCAATGAAAACCATGGTGTCGTCTGCATAGAGCAGGTGGGTGATTTGCGGGCCATTTCTAGATGTCCTAAAACCTTTTGGGGTGCCATTATCAAAATGGTTCGAAATGGCTCTAGAGAATGTTCTCCATATATTGCGCATAGGAAGAATGACAGAGGATCTCCCTCTCCAAGACCTCTTCGTGTTTGTATGTGCCCCACATGAACAAGGGTGATGATTTTCATGGCTCCAAGATCGATAATCAAAAAAGGCTTCTTCAATTAAATGTCTTTTTAGGATTCTTTTGTTTTTTTGGCCCTGCACACTACTCAGGTGATTCCATTTCGACTTGCCCTAGTTACTTGGCTTGGGTAGGGCCAAGTCCTGTGCCCGTGCTGAGTTCCTGAAGATTGGTTTAGTACTTCAGTCAAGTCACCAAAAACAGTTATATAGAAGGATATAGGTACATCCTAAGTTACTCAGGTATTAAGAACTTGGCCTGTTTAAGTTGATTGGATTCTGCGAGTTTTCCTGACATGGATGGGTTTTAATTTACTATTTTTCTGAAACATGTGATTTTGAGTTTTTATTCATTTTTGAAGACAAATCATCTATAAGTATCAAAAATTATATTTTTTAATTTTGTAGTGATCTGATTAATTTCCGAGAAAGTCTGTCCATGATCTTAAATTTCCTTGTTGACAATGACTCAATGACGATCATTTTCACAAAGCCAACAACTTCCATTGGCTGGGAATCTTTACTTTGTCATGTTTTCTTAGCAAGTTTTTGGCTTGAGGAATAGAAAATGCCACCAATTAATCTTCCAAAAAGAAAACAATGATGCCAATTATTTTTGCATTCACTTCAGCGCCAACCTAATAGTCAAATCTATACTACCTGCCTATATATGTAATCATCCCTATAAGCAAGAATTACATATAATTTCACAAAAGACCTTTGATGTACAGCTTTTGACCTAAAACTTCTCTAACAACAATTTGAGGATAAAAAAATTTTAGTAGTACTTTCTTTGCCATATTTACATTTGGAGAAAAAGATGATTCGGCTTCAGCTGTAGTAAGCCAATCAAGAGAGAGAGAGAGAGGAGGTAGTCCAAAAGCTCATGCATTATTGAGGCACATGTGATTACAATCTCAAAAAGTTTTATGCATCACTATAAATTTAAGGTCTTCTGTCAATTTTCATGGAAGAAATACGACTATATAGGAAAGAGGGAGAAGGATAGTAAAACAAATGAGAAAAATAAGGATAAAAAAGGTGAGAGAATATACTCTTTGGATTTGCAGGGAAGTCCAGCCTAGAAAGATCTTTTTGTAAGACCTAAAATCAGTTCTCTCTCTCTCTCTTTCTCTCTCTCTCTCTATATATATATATTATTTTATTTTTCCTTGTCCAACACTTATGTATTTGTATGAGAAACCTGAAAAGCTTGCCTCATAAGAAACCCTAATCAGTGTCAATCCAAGCCATCATTTCTTCAAAATAAAATTTCCAGCACTACTCAATTCTATGCACCAAAAGTGATGCAATTGCCCTAAGATAACAAAAAAATAAATAAAAGATAAATAACTCCAAACACAATTTCAATCTTCTTAAAAACAAAAAAAATAGAAATAGAGAAATACTTAGGTAAATGGTGGGCCTCCATCATCAACTATTTAGACGGCCTTTGAAGGACGTGTTGAATCTACAAGCTCAACAGCAAGCTTCTCCCAACCCTTCGAGAATGGCACAATTAAGGTCTTTAAATTATTTTATTTTATTTCATTTTTTAGGAGACTAAAATTGGGTTTGGTTGTTTTCTTTTAGGGTCATCATCATCATTTTAGTCTTTTCCCCATTAATTGAGGTTGGCTATATGAATCCTGGTTTTCCATTCTGCTCTATTAAAGGCCATATCCTCAGTGGGGCCATAAGTCCCCCTATCTTTTTGAACTACTTCTAATCACGTCCTTTTGGGCCAACCCATTGCCCTTTTCAGTCCTTCCACTTGAATTAACTCGAACCTCCTAACAGGTGCTGTACTTGGTCGGCACCACACATGGTCAACCCACTTAAGTCTACTCTCTTTCATTTTATCGTCTATTGGTGCCACACCTAAATTATCTCGAATAGATTCATTTTGAATTCTATCCCTTCTTGTCTTGCCACTCGTCCATCTCAACATCCTCATCTCTGCTACACTCATTCTATGGGTATACAGTTTATTGTTCACCCAACATTCCGCCCCATAGAGCAAAACTGGTCTCATTGATGTCCTATAGAATTTGCCCTACAACCTCATTGGTATGTGGCGATCATATAAAATTCCAGTTGCACATCTCCACTTCGCCCACTCAACTCTAATATTGTGTGCAACATCTTCCTCGATCTCTCCATTTTCCTGGATTATCGACTCAAGATATCAAACATGCGGTCTTTTTTGTACTTCTTGGCCATCAATCTTAACTACTTCCTCGTCTCTACTCCTATTATTACTAAACTTGCATTCCATATACTTTGTCTTAGTCCGACTAATTTTAAAACCTTTGGATTCAGAACATCCCTCCAAAGTTCTAACTTTGTGTTGATGCCATTTCGGGTCTCATCAATCAAAACTATGTCATATGTGAACAACATGCACTACGCTGCTTCATCTTGTAGATGCCTAGTTAGGTCGTCCTTAACTAAGACAAAAAGGTACGGGCTCAATGCTGACCCTTGATGTAGACTTATTGTCACTGAAAACTCACTCGTCTCTCCACTAGTTGTTCGTACACTAGTTATTGCTCTATCGTACATATCTCTCACCAAGTCAATGTAATGTCTAGACACCTTTTTTTTCCAACACCCGCCAATCAAATCTCGAGGTACTCTATCATAAGCTTTCTCTAGATCAATAAAGACCATATGGAGGTCGTTTCTTTTCGCCCTAAACTTCTCAATCAGTTGCCTAAGTAGAAAGATCACTTCAGTTGTTGACCTTCTTTGCATAAAACCAAATTGATTTTCAAATACATTTGTTTCATGCCCTAGTCGTTGCTCAATTACTCTCTCACAGAGTTTCATAGTATGGCTCATAAGCTTGATCTCTCGATAGTTGGTACAGTTCTGTATGTCTCCTTTGTTCTTGTAAATTGGTACCACAATACTTTTCCTCCATTCGTCCAGTATTTTCATTGTTCTCAACACCCTGTTGAGCAACTTTGTCAGCTAGTCAATGCCAATTTCTCCCATGCACTTCCAAACCTCTATCGAGATACCATCTGGTCCTAAAGCCTTTCCTATCTTCATCCTTTTCAAGGCTTCTTTCACTTCCGACATCCTAATCCTACGAATGTATCTATGACCTTTCTCATCACTTGTATCAACGTCTCTTCTACTACTATGTTCCCATTGTGTTTGTCATTTAATAATTTTTGAAAATGACTATCTACCTTTTGTTGACCTCATCATCCTTCACCAAGGCCCTTTGATCTTTACTCTTAATGCATTTAATATGGTTTAGATCCCTATACTTTTTCTCTCTTATTTTTGCTAATTTGAAGATATTTTTTTCACCTTCTTTTGTGCCCAATTTATTGTATAGATTATACATAGTTTATCATATATATAGTTTATTGTTTTCTTTTAGGGTATTCATACTTCTTCTTTTTCTTTTTCTTTAAGAATTGAGGGGTAGGATTGAAAATGTAATTTTGAGAAGGTGAAGGGTTGGGATTTAATAGTGATTGGTGCTTTTTATGGGGCAAATTAGGGATAAGGTATCTTCTATAAAAATATAATTGTTAGACATGGAAAATAGAGAAATTGATTTTTGTGTTGAAAAGATTTTTTTGAGGTGGATACCCTTGCTGGCCTAGGGAGAGGGAGGGGCAAATCTCCCAACCTTTGGGTTGGTTCCTTGCAAGCCCAAAGCAAGGTTTAATCTCTCTTCTATTGTTGGTTTTAAATTTTCGTTCTCTCTTATTGACCTACATCGGATGATAGTTCATACAACTTTCCGTAAAAAGTTAAGCACTACAATATACAAATGCTAAGAATTCTTAAGCTAAATCTAGTTCATAGATTTAATCCCAAAGGTAGGATGCGTGAGAGAGAAATGGGGAAGTTGGTGCAGAGAGGCGTTATGCTTCTGTATTGGGATATGGAGATGCATATTAGTTCTTTAGAGAAAGAGCTCCACGGAAGCCATGCATTTGAGAATTTATAGGTTTTGTTATATAGAAATTTGGTGGTAAAACAATTTGCCCACAGAAATTCACCGGGTGTTTGATACTTGCACGAACTGTGATAGTTTTTCTTTGAGCTTTTTCCAAAGTTGAGGCAAAGTATGGCTAAGAGGAAGTTTTTGTCCCCCATGGCTTAGAGATGTGGCTTTCTGTGGTTTTATAAGTGAAAATGTGACTTAGCCATATGATGGTTTGAGAGAGAGAGAGAGAGAGAGAGAGAGAGAACTATAATAGTTTCCCTTTGTTTGAGCTTTTTCCAAAGCTAAGACAAAGTCTGGCCAAGAGGAAGTTTTTTTGTCCCACATTGCTCAGAGATGTTTACCTTGCGCGGCTTTATAAGTGAAAATGTTACTTAGACCTATGGGGGTTGGTGTGTGTGAGAGAGAGAGACGTGGCGGCTTTTTGCTGGTTCTAATTTGGGTGAGACACACACATATACACATGGGGGCTGTCGTGGCCGTGTTAGGGGCTGGGTTTGGGCCATAATTCTTTCTTTTCGCTGCCCAAACCTCTCACCATGATCAAGCCACTAACCCAACCTTTCACTGTGGCTTAGTGGGAAGCTCAACTGCTTTCTGCTGTTTTCTCTCAAAGGCCTTATATTGAGCTCCTGACTTTTGACCACTGATGGCTCGGTTAAGGTTTTCTCATTCATCTTCAATGCCCTGACACTTAGCCTTGTGTCATACCTTTTTACCATGTGTCCTCCACCATTTCAACAGCCAATAGATTCTCACCATGGTTAATGTAGAAACCTCTATATATGTCCCTGTTGGAAGCTAAAATTTGTTTAGAACCTCTTCCTTGTGCTTTGGAACACAGTTAACTGAGAATTGTAACTCTCACCGAGATGCCTTTACTATTGAATTTCTCTCTTCAACTTTGTTCCATTTGATTTCTTATTAAAACCAAATTCAAGCTAACTCAGTATTGAAATCGCGGTTTCTGGAGGCTAGTGCTGACCATACAACTCAGAAGATCTAGGGCTTAGTTATATCCCGGTGGCACACTATCACAATCTGATTTTGTTTGGGAAGATGCAAAAAGAGGGTTGAGCAATTTAATTTAGAAATGATTTGCATCCTATCCCAATAAGTGCAGAGAAAATCCTAAAGGTCGAAATTTGGACATTTTGATTCTACCTCAAATTTTTATGCGCGGCTGCTAATTCCTTAGTTTTTTTTTGCTTTGCTTGTTGGTATGTGCGGCTGCTAATTCCGTAATTTTTTTTGCTTTGCTTGTTGGTATGTGCGGCTGCTAATTCCGTAATTTTTTTTGCTTTGCTTGTTGGTATGTGCGGCTGCTAATTCCGTAGTTTTTTTTGCTTTGCTTGTTGTAGTAAGAACTAACAAGTGTTGGGTCATTGTCAAAGGTGATACCTAAATGGTAATTAAAGTAACCTCACATCTCAAAATTGTGTATGATTGTGGACTTTTACTGCTAGGTGATTCCCTTCACCTTCACCTTTTTTGTTATCTCAGGAGGAGGTAACGTCATGATTTGATTCGTTACTAGTTTAAGAGATATGTCCTAATCTAGAACAATGTCAAAATTTTGAAATTATTTTAATTTACAAGTGTCAAATTTTGTTAGTTGGTGCCCCTGACTAGTTTCGTATGTACAGTAGGAGATGCATCTGATGGGCTGTGGACTGGTATTTAAAGTAGGAGACAACTCTTGTTTGATATGTGTAGTACAGGATAACTCCAGGTTAAATGAAGAATATTTTTGGCTGTGGCCACTTATTGGTTTCATATTCTAATCAGGAGATATTTCCAGGACCTATTTTCAAATTTGTGTATGATTTGAGCTTCAAAAAAATTGAATTGTTTAGTCTCTATCCATTAAGCATTTTCAATTTTCATGTTATATAAGATACATGTATCAATACTATTGACCTTAGGAATCGGGCTTAGGTCATGGTGGTAGCCTCTGGGATTTTATAGCACTATGTCTCAAGTTCCATTCCTATGTAACCTTGTCAAAAAAAAAAAAAAATACTATTGCCCTTTGGGCAAAGAACTATATACACATAGCACATCCTTTGCGGTACCAAGAATATACTTATCTTGGGGGATGAAGTGGAAGACCCTTTCTCCAAAGTTCTTCATTTTTTTTTTATTTTTTTTTTCCTATTTTAGATGAATTGTTTGTTTTTTTTTTAGTTTCTTTCTCTTCTTTGTTTTTGTAAGAAACAATGGAAGAGGCTGAAATGCTTATGGAATTTTGGTTTTTCTTGACAAACAGAGAACGGTGTCCAACCTAGTATTCATAGGGTGAGGAGTCGTTTGGCCATGGTCGAGAAGGCCAAAGATGGGGTGGTGGAAGCTTTAGTGCAGTATGGAGATGAAGATGACAGTGAATTTACAGCATCTTCCAGGGATCTTTTTCCCTTACTGCCCAATACTGTGAGTTCACACGCCACATTGCCTAATGCTGTGAGTTAACATAAATTATTGCTGTGGATTCTACAGCTAAAAGTTTAGTTTTGAAGAGAGAGTTTTTACTCTCTTACATTTTTCTAAGGCCACTCTTGTACTTTCTGTTTCTTCCAGAATTATGCAGATCTCCTTGCTAATCAGTACAGTACACTGGTAAGCTCGCTTTTCTTTTCAGTATTATGGGTATTGTAGGCAGTTGCAACTCCTTATTTTGGGAATCTCTCTCTCTCTCTCTCTCTCTCTCTCTCTCTCACGCTCATGAGAGTTACATGGAGTGAGATGACGGAGGGATGGAGACGGTAATCATTCCAACATCTGTTGCTTGTGAATGCACATGAAAATGGTGAATAGTTTGTGCCCTGTTAACTATAGTTGTACGTGCAGAATCTTTAAATATATGGAAAGATTTGGTATACTGTAATACCTCTCTTTCTTTTATAGAAGTCAACTGATTAAAAAAATATATGTATATGGAGAGATTTGTTCCCATCTTCCAATCATATTGTCTTTCCAAGTTATTTCATCTCTCTCTCTCTCTCTCTCTCTCTCTCTCTCTCTCCACCCTTCCCCCTCCCTGTGATTTTATCAATTTTCTCTCGGTGTCTTTTCAGCTCTCTGTTCTTTTATTAGCTTGTTCTAGTAGTATTAATGATGTTTTTAATTATTTCTTGCCTGACATTTTTCTTCATCTCCTCTCTTCTCTCATGCTCTGTCATCTCTCTCTCAATTTCAAATCTTCCTTTCCTTTCTTATTGTTTTTCTACTTTTATAGATGCTACGAGATGGGTATCAACTAATGGATGACCAGATCCAACTCGCTCCTCGTGGGGGTGGCCCCTCCACCGCCGCCCAACAACCCTCTACTTCTGCCTCCTCCGACCAAATGATTGGCCACCTCCCCCCTTCCAATTCCCCTCTTCCCAGTCCCCAACCATCTCACCAGACCAACCTCTTGGGCCCGCGAATGCCACCACATGGCAACATCCAGGCAGTCAACTTGTCCCCCGGTTACTTACCCTCCCCTCGGGCCCCACCTCAATTCATGGACCCCACCTCTAACCTCCAACAACAACAGCAGCAGCAGCCTCGATCCTCCCCGTTGGTCACTTCCAACCAGCTTGCTCAGCTCAATGCAACAGCCTCCAACCATGCCATGGGTACCCCAACTCACATAATGGGCATGGGTATGGGCATGAACATGGGAAGTATGGGCATGGGCACCAATCCATCATCCCCATCCCCCATGCACATGCATCTCCTACAACATAGACAACAACAAAGCCAACAGCAACAACAACAACAGCCACAACAGCAAAGAAAGATGATGACGAGCTTGGGCTCAGCCATGACCATCCCCAACATGATGAACATGAACATGAACATGAACATGGGCGGCATGACCATGGGTGGCATGTCAGGACCCATGATGGGTATGCAGCAGCACAATAGCATAAGCTCCATGGTCAAGAGTGGCATGTTAACCACAGCACAAGCTGCATCCATGGCCAACAAGCTGAGGATGGCCCATGTGGCGCGTGTACGCCCCACCGGTGGGGGACCACAAATGCCGGGCCTTCCTGCTATGCTAGGCCAGCCCATGGGCCGCACCCCCATGGGCACGGTTCAAAGGGCTGCCTTGGCCTCAATGGGCCCCCCAAAGATGCCAGGGACTGCCAGTTTTTACATGAACCACCAGCATCAGCAGCAGCAGCCACAAATGGGCTCACCCATGCAAACCCAGCATCAAGTGGGCGCACATCAGATGGGTCAGATGACCTCGCAGCAGGTGGGTCAGGCGGCATTGCAGCAGATGGGTACATTGGGTTCTCAGCAAGTAGGCTCTCAACAAGTGGGTCAGATGGGCTCGCAGCCAATGGGTCAAGTTGGCTTACAACAGATGGGTCAGATGGGCTCACCTCAAGCGGGTCCGGTGGGCTCACAACAAATGGGGCAGATGGGATCACCTCAAATGGGTCAGATGGGCTCACAACAAATGGGTCAGATGGGCTCCCCACAAGTTAGTCAGATGGGCTCACCACAAGTTGGTCAGATGGGCTCACAACAAATGGCTCAGGCGGGCTCTCAACAAATGGGTCAGGTGGGTCCACAGCAATTGTGTCAAATGGCTCCGGTGGGCTCACAGCAAATGGGACCATTGGGTGCACAACAAATGGGTCCATTGGGCTCACATCAAATGGGTCACGTGGGTTCACAGCAAATGAGCCAATTGAGTTCTCAGCAAATTGGCCATTTGGGTTCATCACAACTGGGTCAAGTTGGGCCGCAGCAAATTTGTCAAGTGGGTTTACAGCAAATGGCTCAGGTGGGTTCTCCCTCTGGGCTAGTGATGAGCCAGCAGCAAGCCCAGATGAGCCCCCAGCAAGCCCAGATGAGCAGCCCACAGCAACAGGTGAGCTCTAGTGGGGGGACTCAGCAAATGGGCTCGCAGCATGTGGGACCAGCGAGCCCACAACTGAGCTCACAGACCCTGGGTTCAATTGGGTCCATCTCAAGTTCACCTATGGAGATGCAAGGGGTGAGCAAGGGCAATTCGGTAAATAATGCTGGCTAGCAAAAAAAGATCCTCTTCATGCTTTCAAGTATACCACAGTACTCCAAAAAAAAGATCCTCTTCATGCTTTCAAGTATACCGCAGTACTCCAAAAAAAAGATCCTCTTCATGCTTACAAGGGTGGATGCTTCTTTCCTGTACCCTATACCACCACACTGCGGTGGATTTTGGCATAAACCCCCTTTGAATAATAGTTGAAATGATCAAATTGACCTCAATTTTTTGTGGAATAAGTTGTGTAGCCAGCGGCCCTTACCTCACTTCCATATATCCAGGATTTGCATTCTGTTCATTGTTATATCAGAAGTCTGCGGGCTGTGTGATCGTCTATGAAAGAATTTGGTCATTTGTTCAGCAGAGTGTGGGGTTGATCCTTTGGACTTAAAGTTGATACATGGATGCAGTGTTTGTGCAGCAGTTTGGTGGTGGTGTAAATAATAGCTATGGCTTTTCTTAATATATTGGAGGAATAAACAAAGCACTGTTGTGTGTTTATCCTCACTAATTTATAATGAGAGTTCCTTTTGTCTCGAATTTCTCTCATGGCTACCCCTTTTTGTATAGTGAAAACAGGAAACTTACCCCACCCTTTTTTTCTTGCATCCCCCATCTCCCAGCCATAATGGCTGTGATGTCTTCAGTCATTTTCACAAGGAGGCACTGATTTATGGTCTAGATCTGAAGTCTCAACAATATTTTATTTTTAAACGTTTTTTCTACAAATCATATGAAGATGGAATTTGGTATGTGTTTTAACGGGGCGCACCTAAAAAAATATTAAATAAAATAATCAAGGTATAACTAATATCATTTTATCTTATCAAGAAATATATTTTTATATTATGTTTTGCAGGTGGGAGTTTGAGAGGAAAGGAAGCCTTATATTTGGTGTCAGAATGTTTTGTAGAAAAAAATTAAAAAATAAAAAAGCTTTTTGGTGTGACATTGTGTGGGGCCATATCAGCCCTATTGAAATTGGGCAGCTGAGAGATGGGGATGTAGAAAAAATATATATGGGTGGGGAAGTACAATACCTTTGTATATTGGGTACAATAAGAACTTTTGCAATGCATTTCGATGAGAGCAATATAGTAGCATCTACACGTCATAATTCTGAGCTCTGTAATTTGTGCATGAGTTTGGTACAGTTTAATTAGAGAGGAAGCAAGTTTGATTTATACTGTTGCCGTTATTACTGTGGTTTTTGCTGAACATGAGGGACATTGTTCATAACACTCCTAAAAAGCTACTATGAGGGCTCCTTAGCGAAGAACGATGCACAAACTTTGCTTTATTTTATTAGTGAGGACTCAACTTTTTTTAAGGAAAAATGTGAAAATCAAAAGTTTTTTACATGACTTCCTTTACCTGGGTTGGGATGGATTAAAGGGAAATTTTAGGCCCTCACCCTGACCAGTGTGACAAACAACAATAAAATAAAACACGTTTCATTGTAGTGAACTATCTCTCGACCATCCATAAACCGATTGTGATCGACCATCTCTCGACCATCCATAAACCGATTGTGATCGTCCATCTCTCGACCATCCATAAGCCAACTGTAGATCACATAGCTTCCTACTACCACTCTCTCTCGACCATCAATGAACCAACTGTTATCGACCATTCATGAACCAACTGTAGATCAAATGGGTTTCCTACAACTCAAATCTAAACATATAAAGGAAAAAGTTTACCAACTGTAGATCAAATGGGTTTCCTACAACCCAAAACTAAACATAAAAGAAAAAGTTCAGCATATGATCGCGCCTTTAAAGTGCCGAAGTGCATGTCTTTTTCTTCTTTTTTTTCCAATTTTCAATAATTGCCATGAATTGCAATTTCCATGTGTTCATCTCGACCTCAAAATGAAAAACTTTGGATTTCAATCCCCTATTTGTAACATATGAACCGCTTACTCTATTGGTGGCTAGATCTACATCATCTTTAGAGCTTAAATTTCTTTTTATCCAATCATCTAAAAATAGCTAATATGAATGTCCATCGCTAAAATGGATGTCAGAAAACGTTACATCCACAATCCAGAGTTTTTGAAAAGGAAATTTTCCAAATTTCAATCATTATCATGGTTGAGATTATCGAACCAAATCCTTAAATTTTGGATAAAAAATACATTGTGATATATTTTGAGGGAGACCATACAAGAATAGTGTGAATCGGCCGAGTCACCAAACAGTTTCCTATACAATGTATATCATTTAATTCATTTTTTTTTTACTTTCACTTTGCCAGATCACTAATCTGGTCAATATAAACCCAGATCTGGCTGATAAGGAAAAAATAGGTGGTAGGCAAACAGATCTGTTTACCCCAAAAATTCCGCAGATGTCACCTATTGTTTGCCTCAACATTGGCATACATTACAAATATAACCTCATTTTTCAATATTTACAAATACCGCAGCCCATACTAGATTTTTGAACATATCAGGCTCGAAAACAAAATTTTGCCCAAAAAGAAATCAACAAGGTTTTTTAATTTACCTAACCAACAAACCAACCTAGGGAATAGGGAAAAGAAACACATTGAAGGGAAGGAAGCTTGACAAAGCCAGCAATCCAGGTGATGATTTCGCCAACGGTTTTCATTTCCTTGTGTCGCGCTTTCTCTTCTTCAGAGGATGCTTCTTGTTCTGCCTCTCATCTCTTTTCCTCTTCTTGACCTGCAGTTGAAATGATTTTCCTACCAAAGATGGCTGCTCCTTCAATGCAAAGCTCTTTGCAACATGTCCCAAGTGCAGTTTCTTCACCATGAAAATCCTCTTGAGCTCCCCACGGTGGGCAGTATATGCACGAACCCATGACCAAAATGTATCCTTAGCCAGCTGCTTCATCTTTGGCTGTAACCATCCAAATTTCCAAAGGGGTAGAGTCAATACCCAGTACACCAGGATAACAATTTTGTCAAACACCTCTCTCTCTCTCTCTCTCTCTCTCTCTCTCTCTCTCTCTCTCTCTCTCTACTCTACTACTACTACTACTACTACTACTACTACTACTACTACTACTACTACTACTACTACTACTACCTACTACTACCTACGT